TTTTTTTTTTTTTTTTTTTTTGTTATTTGAATTGGTACCTAATATCGCAAGAGATTTTGTAATCTGTTAATGTTTACTTCCATAAAAAATTTTGCTTGTAGTTCCACTGCAATGTCAATTTAACTTTTTTTTAATCTGGAATTGAACAATTATTTCGGTGGGATTGGTGATGTTTCCTCCTACGGACAATTATAGCTGAGTTCTATGATGGACGTGGGAAGTGATGTTCAAATTCGTGCTAGTGGGGGTCTTCTTGCCATACTGGAAAATGAAAGGATCGTGGACACGCTTGAACAAAAGGAACTTGGAACTTCATTGATAACGATTGATTCTGTCATAGAAATTTCTTTGTATCCTTTTACTTGTTATCTTATTAGCCAAATTACTTGTACTTAAAGTTAAAAAGTAAAAAAAAAATTATATTAATCCTTCCTTCACTTCTGATAAAACAGAAACAAATTTTTAAAACTCGATGCAACAGCTTTGGAAGCATTGCAGATATTTCAAACCGACAAACATCCAAGCCATATGGGCATTGGAAGAGCAAAAGAAGGGTGATTGAGAACTTACTTGTCAGTGTTGCTCTGAAGGAAACTAATCTAATATTTCTTGACGCAGGTTCTCTGTATTTGGCATGATGAATAAGGTATGTGTGCATTGGTTTCTTTTATAATTTGAAGCACATATACACACGCTATTGATACAATCTCCTCATTCCAGTGTGTGACACCTATGGGTAGACGCCTCTTGAGGTGCACATTTTCTACTAGGAACTTACTGACGGCCTTTTCTCCATATATCTCTTATTTTCCTAAAACTTGGATAATGGCTGTTTCTATTTAGAAACTGGTTCCTGAGGCCATTGGTGGATCTTGAAAATTTGAATAAGCGACTTAATGCAGTATCCTTTTCTCCATCCATTGTTGGACAATACAGAAGCGAGTTTACATTTAAATGTGTAAACGATATGTATTATGTCGTAAAATTCTGAAAAAGAAGGATAAAAATATGCTTTTGTTCTTTAACAATTAACACAATAAAGATAACGTTCTTTATTTCTTCTGAGGAATTGATGCATTCTTTACGTGAAACTCTAAAGACTGTCAAGGACATTCCCCATATACTCAAGGTAGCAGGGTTTCTTTTATTATTCATAATTTCTGTAATCTATGCTTGACAAACACATTACCCACAAACATGGGCAGTTAGTTTTCACTTGTAATTGGCTTAATATGTATATTTTTTCAAATTTTCTTACATGGAAGAAATTCAATTCCCCGAGCTCAACATATTCTTCTGGTGATTGGACTTCATTCTTGAAGGTTTGTTAACCTCCTTTTAAAATGCTATAACTTTTTTACTCTGTTGCCCGTCTAATTAGTAATCGTCATCATTTGGAAGTGCCCTATTGTTGGTCAAAAAGGCAAGTCCAAGGTATGAGAGAATTGCTGCATAATTTTGTTCTGATGTCTTAACCTTTGCTCACCATTGGTTTGCATGTGACTAAGTGTCACGTTTAAATTCGGTCGAATTGAATAAGTTAACATCTTTTAATGTTAAATTCATCAAATGATCTTTTATATCACCATGAATATGATTTTTAATGCACCATCATTATTGTTAAATCAAATAGTGATCATGTGAGTTTGGGACAATCATTTTTCCTTGACAACATTGTACTACAATTCCTTTCATCTTATCAAGATTATTTCCAGTTATCATCTGATTTTTATAAGAATGAGGAGAAAATTCACGGGGAGTTGGCAGCCAACTCTTTCTCTCTTCATTTTTATTATTACTTTTTTCCATTGGTACCGCTCCATATCGTGAGACATTTTTTCATTAGCAATAAATTTTTTAAATTTTGTTTTGATCTTCTGTCTCTTATTATTTTTTCTACTGCAGAGTGTTTGCTCCCTTCTGCACGTGAATAAAATATTTGAAGTTGGCATGTCAGAGAATCTTAGAGACAACATGAAGCACTTAAATTTGGACATTGTTGAGAAGGTACCCAATAATATCTTTGACTCACTTTCTATTTGGTCAAATTGACATTTTAATGAGCCTTGTGTAAATCTTTGTTTATTGCAGGCCAATTCGTGCATTACAACAGAATTAGCTTATGTTTATGAATTGGTCATTGTTTCCTACTTCCCTGGTATTCTATTTATATTTCTGTTTAATCGCTGATGTTTCTGCTATAATGGAGAAAGAAACTATGGGTTAATTATAATTGGAGTGATGGAACTAGTAAGGGTCATTATCCCTTCACTGTGTCCTTTAAATGTACATTACCATGATTGAATTTTCTATAAGCTTATTGGATTGCCCTTTAAGAACTTCTGTAATGGTCCTCATAAAATATTTGGCTTCTCATCTTGAAGGTTATTGGCGTCTTAGATGTTAGTAGAAGCAAAGAGAAGTCATATGAGACAATTGTGAAGGAGGGTTTTTGTGATGAGGTGAGAGATAGTTAACCAGTTTAAGTGCTCTTCTTACCCAAGTATTATTCTATTCTTAGAGGGACATATTTTTCCTGTCCGACGAGATACTGATCATCCTGTCATCTTTCCACGGTTAGTTTGTTGGTATAGCATGCATAGAGTTGGTTTGTTGTCTTTAAGAATAATACTGACAATTTAAATCTGACGTAGTATTTAGCTTTTATTTCTGGATTACATTGGATATAAACTCTTACATTCTTTTTTTTTTGGATGGCTAACAGTTGGATGAGCTGAGGGAAATCTATGAGGAATTGCCTCAATTTTTGGAGGAGGTGCATTATGCATGTTTTAAAACTTCAAAAGTTAGATGTCAAGTAGATTGCACGAATGAGTTTTCCATCAATTTCACCGCTCCTGACAGGTTACATCAATGGAAGTTGCTCAATTTCCTCAGTTGTGTAAAAACAAGCTTGACCCCTGTATAGTCTATATACATCAAATAGGTCCGCATTCTTTCCAGAGCATTTCACTGAAAAAGTTACTTTAACTTATCCATACTTTATAGGCATTTCTGCTGGAAAATTGGGACTAGTATATGAAATGGCCTATTAAAGTGATTTTATGCAATCATTTTCAATGTGTTGTCACCCCATATATTGCACCTTTTAAGAACTAGGACATGATCATTACCATCCTTTAATGCAGTGAAAAAAGAAAATTAAAAAAAAAAAGGAAAAAAAAGAAGAAAAAAAAGCTACTCATTATCTTGCATGGTCCGTGTAAGGTTAACTTGTGTGAGGAATCATGGATCTCTACAATGATATGATACTGTCTACTTTGAGTATAAGCTCTCATGGCTTTGCTTTGGGAGATGTATTCCTTACTTATAAACCCACGATCATTCCCTAAATTAGCCAATGTGGGACCCCTCCCAACAATCCTCCCCTCGAACAAAGTACACCATAGAGCCTCCCCCTTAATTGAGGTTTGACTTCTTTCTCTGGAGCCCTAGAACAAATATACCATGTTAGGCATCACGGATCTCCTCAATGGTATGATGTTGTTCACTTTGAGCATAATCTCTCATGGCTTTGTTTTGGGCTTCCCCAAAAGGCCTCGTACCAATAGAGATGTATTCCTTACTTATAAACTCATGGTCATTCCCTAAATTAGATCCTCAACACATTTGTGTGTTATTGTCTTGCGTGGTCATTGTTATGCATATCTTGTGTTATTGTGTTTTCATTTTTCGGCAACAGGAGCCAGGATATTTATCTCTCTTCCTGCCTAACCCCACTCCCCCCTCCAGGGTATTTATTAAGCATATTTGAAGAGAAACTTGAAGATGGCACGTTAGAGATCCTACGAGACTTTGAATTTGCTGTAAGCTGTTTAATCTTTGTTATAACTGATAATTCTGACATTATTCTAACTGCTTTAGCTAAAAGCTTCTTAAATCTTTACAAATTCAGTTCTCTGATGTGGATGGAGATATAAAGAGATACTTTTACCGTAGTCCAAAAACACGAGAATTGGATAATCTACTTGGAGACATTTATCACAAAATTTTAGGTACTATGTGTTCGTTCCTATTACTCTGAATTTTCCTTAATTTCTTGCAGTAGATTATTTAAAGATTTTTCTCTTGGTTGGCATATATTTCAGCTCTGAATAAGATTTTGATGTTTAGTTCCAAATTCCAATTTATCCACAAAAATCACCCTTAACAGATGGGAATTAAAAAAGAAAACAAAGCCATTGATCTTAATTTAAATTGTCACGTTAATTAAATTACTCTTAAAATATTTGACCTTGCCTTCATTGATTCCTAGAAGACATGGAGAGGGCAATTATTAGAGACTTGGTGTCACATATACTTGTTTTCTCTCTGCATCTGCTTAAGGCTGTAGATTTCGCGGCTGAGCTTGATTGGTGAGAATATTTTCTTCTTTTTCACTTATGCTCTGTCGTCTCAACATGCTACCACATTCTTGGAGGACCCTGAATAGTTGGTTTTCTCATTGTGCATTTGAACATCTATCAATCATCTTGATGGTTTTGCACAGCTTTTTATCACTAGCACTGATTGCTCGTCAAAACAACTATGTAAGGCCAGTTTTAAGTGCAGATAGCATGCTTGATATTAAGAATGGAAGGTTGGAACCTTTGACTGTGCAGGTCATGTTGAATATTCACTCAAATTCTAATAATCGAGTACTTAGATTTGTAGTACATATGCTGTAGGCACATTTTGCAGGAAATGGCTGTCGATACGTTTATTCCAAATGACACGAAGATTTTTGATGATGGTAATTGATGGTGCATTACATAGCTGTATTCAACTTCAAACTAGAAATGCGCATCTGCTTCTAATAACTTTTTAAGTTTATGTCTTTTCAGGAAGAGTTATTATCATTACTGGCCCAAACTATTCTGGTAAAAGTATCTACATAAAACAGGTAAATAAATGTTCATTTTTTCCTTTCTAAAGTGGTGTGCTGTCCCGTCTCTCTCTCTCTCCACGTTATTGCATATTTGGTGAATTCATTCTCTTTTCGTGGAGTCTTCATTTGTAAATGAAATAATAATATGGGTCCGTAAATGACATTTAAAGATATCTATGTTTAAAGATCTATTGCAGAGTGAGGGTGTTATGACTGATTGTGGAAAGTCATAACTGATTTTCCTTGACACTGAGTGCTATTCTTCACGAAAGATTAGTTGGATATGGTCAGAACAAGTTCACACAAACAGTTACTAATTCCAAGTTTATATTTCCTGCGATGCATCTGTTGGTTATAGCCAGCCTAACCAGTTATGAAGGAGATGTAGTGACGGACAATTAGAAGTTAGGAAGCATTAAAGTCTTTAGTGGTTAGAAGCTTCCGAGATTCCAGGAAGGAAATTTTGTCAATGGACTAAACTGAAGATTAGAATGGAGGTGGATGGTTAAGGAGGATGATGGAGGCAGAGCAGAGAATAAATTCGAGCTACTTCATGAAGTGCGATGCATTACGTGGAAGGATCCAACAGAGTTATAGCGATTGAACTGTATCCCCTCTTCAATATTTTCTCTTCTACTTAATGCAAGAATTGATCATTAGAGCTCCTTGTGGATGAAGATGACTATGAGGTGAATTAAAGAGAAAATTAGAGAGACCTTAAAAATGGTGATGGCTCAACTTGAATTCAGAAGTTGGGTTCACAACTCCAAAAACCATGCTGTTGTTTTACTCAGTAAACTGAAGCTTTGACATGTGTTGGATTTATTGGATCATTACCATCATTCATCTGTTCACTATGCCTTTCAAGTCATTTTATGGTAGTGATGCTCCTAAGCTAAGTAACTTCCAAAGATTAGCAACTCCCAATGATGTTGTAGATAAAGTCCTTAGAAATGATATTTTATAAGAGGTTAAATTCAAATGTGGACAGCTCAGCAATAGTTTTAAGATTGACGGACCAGGATTGAGAGAGCTAATTTTTGTACATGGTGATTCAATATTGCCTAGTATGTAAATAAGAAACTGACACAACATTCTATGGTCCTTTAGAAGCAATGGTGGGAAAAGTGGATTATCATCTTTTCTTGCCAAATTTATGTTCCATGTCTAATGTTTCATGTGTCACAACTTCTTGATCAACCTAAGCACTGGTTAAAACATATACTTTCGAGACAGAGAGGTTGAAGGTTTGAATTCCTCACCCCACATGTTGAACTTAAAAAAGAAAAACTTCATGTCGCTTGTGGATCTATTTTTGAAGGTATACCGCTTCTGCCTCATCTTAGTTCTGACAATGAACTCATTGTGGAACCTTCAACTTTTTACGGGATTCAACTGCATGAACCAACCTAGTTTTTAGCTCAGAGCATTCACTAAAGGACATGGATATGTGATGATCTTTGGAACTGTTCCACCTTGCAGTCCAACAGTTTCCATCTTTTCACTTTGAGAATAAGGTGCACCTTCGGGCCAGAGAGAAATTTCCACGCTTCATGTAGTCACGAATGAGTGGGAGGATAACTTGAGGATAAGGGCAGACCATAAATTTTCTTAGGAAGGAACAAAATTTACATGCTAACTTTGCCCCCTTCTATGTACATTAATGAGTTGAAGAGAAATGAAGAGGAATAACAAGAAGTCTGCATAGCTCTAACCCCAGTTCTTCCGCACCTTCCAGGTTGCTCTTATTGTATTCTTGTCTCATATAGGAAGCTTTGTTCCAGCAGATGCTGCAACCGTGGGTTTGACTGATAGGTCCGCATTCCATGTGATGATATCTTCCCTCGTTCTAATGTTGCGTTTAAATTATTGCTTATCAATGATTGCATAATGGGCTTTCGCAGAATATTTTGTGCTATGGGAAGCAAGCATATGACTGCAGAACAATCAACTTTTATGATTGACTTACTTCAAGTTGGGATGATGCTCAGGTACATTCAATAAATAGCTCCTAACTTCCCTGCCTGCACGACCAGAAAAATAGCAGGGGTTGCAAGATATTTGTAGAATAAATCTTGATCGTTGCATAGCTAATGTCTAGAGTGGAAACTTAGAATCGAGTGCTTGAACAATGGCATGACCTTAACAGTTGAATCTGCTTATCATTGATTTTGTTTTATTAACAAAATACACTAACCCTTCTATTTTAAATACTATTATTGTGAAAAATTCAGGCAGGCGACGTGCCAATCTTTGTGCTTGATAGATGAATTTGGTAAAGGTACCCTTACAGAAGGTTAGGCTCACCAATTTCACTAATTTGAATGTATGCGTATGATTTTGTAAACTCACTGTTTTGTCTGTACAATTAAGATGGCATTGGTCTTCTCGGTGGAACCATCGACCACTTTGCAAGTTCTAATGACTCTCCAAAGGTTTGACTTCCTCTCCTAAATATCATATTGTTTTGATTGCTTGGTTTATTTATTTTTACACCAAGTGTTGTTTAAAGTTTCAAATCTTTTGGGGCATCAACAGCTCGTCGTGTCAATGCAGTTTTCCTCTTTACTCGTACCTTTTAGTGAACTTTCATAAGAATTTGTGCAGTTGAATTTAATTTTTGTAAGGTATTTAATAGAAACTTTAGGTCATTCAATCCCAAAATTTGATATAATGCACAATATATACAAAATGCATGTAATGGCCAATAATATTTATGATAAATGTGATATGACTGTAGGGATCAACATGGATTTGTATTCAAATTTTGGAATTAAAACGAAACTACTAGTGTTAGAACTAAAAGGAAATAACTTTAAGAGTAAAGGGGCCAATAAAAAATAAAAGATAATGTTATGAAGCTGCCTCTGGTTAGATTATAAGCATTCGTTAAAATGATTGCTCATGTTTCCAGGTGTTGGTGTGCACTCATCTAACTGAGCTAATTAATGAAAGTTTACTGCCAATGGTAATTCATTTGCATTCTTCTACTCTAAAACATCTGTGATCTTGTCACATGAAATTTCTAGTGTCCCCTTTCTCTTATTCCAGTGTAAAAGGATCAAGTTCTACAACATGAGCATGATACGACCCGACAATGATTGCACTGAAAATGAAGATATTGTATTTCTTTATCGGTAACATATGTGATACGCATCTTTTGTTAGTTTGCTAATAATCCCAGCTTCTCCTTACGTAGCCATTCTTTTTTCATTGCATTTGATAATCTAATATCTATTAGTTTCTTTAAATTTGAAATTAAAAAAGAAGATAGACATTTTACCATTTATTCTTTTCTATTTAAGCATACAAGAAAAGAAGCAAGAAACTTCGCTTTAACTCAACTTACACAGCCCAGAAACGAGATGTTTTCAGAGATTTTCATGGAGTTTCATGGAGATTACTTCTATGCATTAGATTTTAGATGTTGTCTTATGGGCCATATTTTAAATTTTAACCCTTCTTTAGCCTTAAAACATAGGATTTAATGCACTCAAAATTTTCATTTTTGACGCTATTCTTTTGCAGTTTGGTCCCAGGACACGCACTTCCTAGCTACGGTAAGCAGATGATATAAATACAGAAAGATAAATCTTTACGTAAAAGTACTTTTCAGAACCGTAAATTTATATTCTGCTGCAGGTCTGCATTGTGCGTTACTTGCTGGTATATCTTAAAAACAGATGAGTTTAAAACATTTCTGCATTCTTCAAATTGAAAGTAAAATCATTGTGCGTTACCTTGCCATCATTATTGCTGGGAATTAATCCTATTTCTCTCAAAGGCGTTCCTGATGAGGTTATTAAGAGAGCAGCCTTTGTTTTGGATGCTATGGGGAATAACAAGCATGTTGAGCGGCTGCACAACGAGAATTTATCCGCTCAGGACAAGCTATACCAGGTGTTTTATGACTTCAATTTTTCCTTGGGTTTGTAGTTATTTGTGTTGTTTGCTGCACTATTTATGATGCCTTCCAGCTGTGTTGGCAGAGTATTGGTGTGTTTGAACTTTGAACTTAACACAGGACGCGGTGGACAAGTTGCTAGGACTTGATGTTAACAAGTGTGATCTCAGCCGTTTCTTTCAGGGCATATTTCCTTCTTAATCCAAAATCTTTTAAGGTAATCCTGTTTTTCTCTCAACACGCCATCTCTCTAAACTTTGAATTTTGATTTATTATGATTTGGGATGTGACTTACTGGTTGAACAATAGCGGGCATGTTGAAGATTGTTGGGAGGGAGTCCCACCTTGATTAATTTAGAGAATGATCATGAGTTTATAAATAAGAATACATCTCATTAGCATGAGGCTTTTCGGGAAAGCCCAAAGAATTTATGCTCAAAGTGGACAATATCATACCAAAGAGCTTATGATCATGTTCCTAACTGAGCGTGTAGTATGCAATATTTTTAAACTAATTATGTTAACTAATTTTTATATCGATAATTTGTCTGCTTGTGTCACAATGTCAAATAGTTGCTCTTTAATTAAGGGTTCTTTCAACAAAATGTTCATATTTAAATGAGTATAATCAAAATGAAAAAATATGAGACTTTATTGAACTAAATTTGTCATTAATCCGTACAGTTTCCAATTGTAGCATCTTCCGAGAGACTTTCAAGTATGGTTTACAGAAGATTCCGTCCCCAAATGGAGGTAATACAGACAACATTAAGGGGTAATTGTTAAAATAACATCTTCTTTTCGCTAATGCTTTGGTGCCAGTTCCATTTTAGTTCCATTTTCAAGTGTCCAATTTTATTCTCTTTATTTTTTTAATTAATCTCAAATATAATTTTTACGGTTAGTTAGTTAGTTTTTTTTTTTTTTTTTTTTTTTTTTTTTTTTTTTTTTTTTTTTTTTTTTTTTT